TACAACATCAAGTACTTTGAGTTTGACACTTCTGACCAGTCAAGAAGAAACAAAGTGTCCTGAGTTATTTGGGTCTGTACAAGTTTCCATTTGACAATGTAAGACTTTGAATACTTTACAAATTATTATTTCATTTATAACAGTTTTATTTACTTGGCAGTTTAAGAATGTCAGTTATCTCTCTGTGTATTGTGGCCCTGGTCGTCATAAGTGTGGTTATTCTTTGTATACTGAGATAAACGAGATTGTTTATTATGATGGATAACCAGTAGTTGTTTATAACTGCAGTGTGATTGATGGCTAAGGAAGGAGGTATGAGGCATTATAGATGTTTCTTTTTCTTTCTTTCCTTCTTTTTTTTTTTTTTTTTTTTTGAGACAGAGTCTTGCTTTGTCACCTAGGCTGGAGTGCAGTGGTGCGATCTCGGCTCACTGCAGCCTCCGCCTCCTGGGTTCAAGTGATTCTCCTGCCTCAGTCTCCCGAGTAGCTGGGACTACAGGAGCGCGCCACCACACCCAGCTAATTTTTTGCATTTTTCGTAGAGATAGGATTTCACCGTGTTAGGCAGGATGGTCTTGACCTCGTGAGCCACAGCGCCCGCTGGCATTATAGATGTTTCTAAAGCATCTAAGGAGCTTCTGACTGCTCGATTTCTTTTACCATTACCACTAGGAAATGTCTTACATTATTTTAAAAACTACATTACATGTCAGTTTCAACTGTTGATTTGTTATACTCATGTGACTTTTAAAAAAACTGTCTTTTGGATTTTTTTAAGCTGCAATTTAATTGCCAAAACCACTCTAAAAACTTTAGATACTGTTTTGGTAACTTTTAAGCTTAACTGTATAATTTCCAGCGTACTCATCCCAAATTCTGTGGTGGTGTCGTCTAAGTGTATTCTTTAGCTTGAGTGTATCAGACTAGTACTTTTTTACTGCAGTTATTTCTCCCCTTTTTTGCCCTGTCGTGCCATACATAATGCTGTGTTTTCATGAAACTCATAAAAAATTCTTGAAGACTGGTAAATTTCACAATCGTTGTCTTATGCAGTGTCCTTGTAGGGGTTGTTTGTTTTGGAATGCCACACCACGCACCAGGAAACCTGGGGTAGAGTGTAGCGGGTGAGTTTTAGATGACTGCCCAGTGTCTCTCACTTCTGTGGGGGTGACTCCCAGCGCTGTGCCCCGATCCAGCTGTAACTGGTTGAGTCACAGTTTCTGATATTGCCTTGGCCAGTTAAGTCGTCTCTCTTGGGGATTTATAATTTAGGTTCTAGACAGTTTATAGCTGAGTCATGTTACTGATGGTACTCTAGTAAAATGATCCTTGAGTTCCCTTTTCTAAGCTCTCTGTGCTGCATTGGTACTTAACCTTCCCGAGTGTTCAGTCATTCAACTCACTTTGATCCTGAGAAGATTGTTCTTTTTTTCTGGACTTAGAGATGATTTCTGTTGTTTCAACTAAAATAAATCAAGTCACACATAGACATGGCCTTAGAGTTATGTGATGGGTTTGTCATGGAGAGCATTCCAAAAGCCAATTGCAATTTTCCTTTTTGCCTCCTGTTTTAATTGCCTCTGCTGGCACTGTATGCCTCTCCCCACCCTCCCATCTTAACTCAGCCATCACAAACTCCATGCAAACACGCCTGTTGTCTGTCTGCACACCCTTTTTTTTTTTTTTTTGAGATGGAGTCTCACTCTGTCACCCAGTCTGGAGTGTAATGGTGCGATCTTGGCTCACTGTCTGCACACCTTTTTTTTTTGCAGCTCAGTTTCATATAGATGCACTTCCAGTGCACTTTTGAAATATCGTATACATACTTTGTGAATAGTGCATGTTACACTATACTGTTACGGTGTGCTTGGCTGGCTCCTCATTAGCAGCTCGTAAGGTCAGGCCCTGAGACATACTCAGCCTGGTGTCTTGGCGTCTTGCACATAGTACACATGAAATACATGCTTGTTGGATTAATTTTTCCTCATCTTATGTTATTCCCACTTAACGCCTTTATTACTAATTTAACAAATACACATTGAGTATCCCTTATCCAAAATGCTTGGAATCAGAAGTGTTTTGGATTTAGAATTTTTTTGAGTTTTGGAATATTTGCTTATACGTAGTGAGCTATTTTGGCAATGGAACCCACGTCTAAACACGAAATTCATTTATCTTATAGCTCGAAGGTAATTTTATACATTATATTAAATAATTTTTCACATGAAACAAAGTTTGTATTAGGTGCTTATGTTTGGAATTTTCCACTTGTGATGTCATGTCAGTGCTCAAAGTTTCAGATTTTGGAGTTGTCTGAATTTTCAGATTAGGAATGCTCAAACTCTACCTAGTGTGTGTATGTACTGGAGAGCATTCTGCACTCTGAGGATGCCTCAGGAAAACAAACCAAAATATGTCTGCCTTCCTGGAGCTTACAATCTAGATAGTTCAGTTTTCCATCTGCATTCTTTTAAATTATGAAGTATGGCTAAAGTAAACTTTAGGCAACATACAGAGTATTGTACTGTAATTGTAAGATTCTATGATATCTCTCGAGTCCTAATACCGTTTTAATAGATAAGTGCCTGTTTCAGTGGGATAATAGAGCTTGTTTGTGACTGACAAGGAATCCAATACAGTACTGTGCTGAGTGCCCGGTGAGAACTCAAGAAAGGGATTTTGAAAAGTTTATGGTTTTGGAAACGTTTCTGAATGTGCTATATTTCAGTGACTGTGTATAGCATTGACTCTTTCTTTGCAATGCTGTGCTGCCATAATGGTGATAAAATATTTAAAAAACTCTTCAAACATTTGCCTTGTAGGCTTATTTTATAATTTTTCATATTATTTTTGAATTTGTAGACACAGCATACTTGGGTTAGTAAAAGTATGGGTTTTATGAGAACATTTTCATGCCATTTATCCTGTCATTGACAAGAATTATCTTGTCACTTAACGGTTTCATAGCATGATGTTGGCCATAGATATTATTTAAAGGCTCTTTGGTCCCTTGCAAATAGTCTGTGGTAGGTTCACATAGCTTCAGTCATGTATCTAACAAATATTTGGCTCAGTAAATTTTTAGAGGGAATACTCAAACATGGAAATACTTTCACTTTTTAAGCTAGAATATTATTACCATTTTATTTAAAGTTGAGCTACCAGATGGGAGACAAAATTCACCGGATCCTAAAACACTTGTTAGTATTTTGGCATGTTTAATTTTGTATATTTTTCCTCTGCATTTTAAAAATCATAGCTGTAATATGCATATATCAAGTTTGTGCCCCAGAGCATGTTTTCAGAGTAATTATTTCAAGTAACATTATGTGGTGGTGTAGTTAGATGAATCATGTTCTCCCTAAAACTTAAGCTTTCTTATTTCTAGGGTTACTAAACACAGGACCATGACTACTGTAAGCCTCAATTTTGTTATCATGAGAAGTACCATAGGAGAGAGCCTGTTGTGGTATTGGCTCTTACTGGCTACTTAGGAAATGTTAACTCCTCCTTTCTTGGTTTGCTTAAATTATCTTGGGAGAAGGTGCCCATATGTTATTTGACCTTTTAAATATAATTAAATTTTATGGTTTCTTTTCCCTTAAATAATTTTAACCTTGGCCGGGTGCAGTGGCTCAAGCCTGTAATCCCAGCACTTTGGGAGGCCAAGACGGGTGGATCACGAGTTCAGGAGATCGAGACCATCCTGGCTGACACGGTGAAACCCCGTCTCTACTAAAAAATACAAAAAACTAGCCGGGCGAGGTGGCGGGCGCCTGTAGT